TTCGTCTAGCGGCAACGCAGTTATCGCACTTACTACTACCGTCACGAAAGTCGCACAGATTTAGATACGTACTAAACCGAGTGATATTTTTGGCGCAACAGACATAGATTGTAGGCTTTCAGAAGTCGAGACGTAGGTATTCTGTAACTTCATCACATCTAGTGAACTTATTCAAATTGTGACGCATCTGAGATTTCAACGCGAGGCTCGCGGGAGCTCCACGTTCCGCCAAAAGCCCGACAAAACAAGATCGTGAGGAATATTGGTCGTAATAGGCATCCTTAGCCTTAATCGTAGGACGATTAGAACGCACCGACTCATCCCGACTGGCGCGACTAGGGTCTCGGAATACAACGCCAGCAGGGGGGGGGATCTGATATCGTAAGGTCGTTGCTATCAGTGTCACCGTCGCCATCGCTACCAACGATGATAGGTCTCTATAATTTAGTGAGTCAACCTTGCTAAAAAAAGAGAGCCCTTATGAATCTCAGTCTAGCGCTCATTGATATTGTGATCTGTAATAGTCTTAATACTAGTTACTACGCAGCCGCAATGCAACCTGTTAAAAAGCATCTTACCGATGAATGATTCTCCTACGATCTGGTGTCAGATAGCCTGCCCTAATCTGATCTGGGTCAATCAGCAGGACCTTTCCTCCTCTGGAACGCTGTATGAAGCGGAAGCGGCTAAAGCAGTCTTTTGAATTCAATCCAACACACTAAATTCTTTCAAAGGTTTGCACTATGGCTTCCGCTGTCGGCGGTCAAAAGTCCGCTTGTAATTCCGTGAGTGACGTAATGATGGGGCGAATGGCATGGCATGTTCATCGAGAATAGAGGTTCGGCGAGGGTTATTTCTTTTACGGCACGCTGATTCGCGCATGAGTCCGCGGCCCACCATCTCCAACTCGAAGTAATTGGTGTCGCTGGAGTATTATAAAACCCTCGGCATGAATTTAGAAATTATCTGCTGGACAACTACTATCTTAAATTATATACATACCGATTTCAGCTGACTTGATCCAAGAATGGCGCCTACTCGCCGCGTTGCGATTATCCAGTGGTACATCAAGGTGTCTCCGCCAAGTCCGTAAATCAATGACGCAGATAACTAATTCGGAGACGTGCAGGAGCTGGCAACTGAAGACAACCATGCCAGAGCATGCAACTATATCCGCCAAGCAGCGGCTGACGGTGCAGAACTAGCTGTTCTCCCTGAGTAGGTGTATCTGTTTATTCTGTCCCAGAAGCCGCTGCTCACTCCGCCCAGATACCATCTAACCGGCTGGAGCCCAAACGACCCTTGCTGGGCTGTCCAAGCCGGCGAGTCAGCCAAATACCTCGTCAACTATCAGGCTCTTGCGAAGGAGCTCAAGATCTGCCTTGTCCCTGGCACTATCATTGAGAAACATGCGGTGCCCAATGGCACGGCGGTCTTCTACAACACCGCGTACTTCATCTCGAACGACGGCGCTATCCTCGGCTGCTACCGCAAGAAGAATATCTGGCACCCGGAGCGTCCGTATCTGACCTCATCGGCTCTGGAGCGCCACGAGGCAATCAACACGCCGATCGGCCGCATCGGCATGCTAATCTGCTGGGATCTGGCGTTCCCAGAGGCATTCCGCGAGTTGATCGCCGACGGCGCTGACATAGTCATTGTCCCCAGTTTTTGTAAGCCACCTCACTCCTTTTCTCGGATCTGAAATATCAGTGACTTACTCTTTCAGGGACACCACACGATGCTTCTCCGCAGACCCTTCGCCACATCCCAGCCTCGGAGGCCCTCTTCCTAGAATCCACTATCACATCCCGCTGCTTCGAGAATACCTGCGGCATCATCTTTGTTAACGCAACAGGTCCGAAGGAGAACTTCCTGGGCATGTCTCAGGTTGCGCTCCCGATGATCGGGCCGGTAGTGAAGATGGGAACAGAAGAGGGCGTTCGGGTTGTTGATATGGATCTGGAACTTCTGGATATTGCGGAGAAGACATATAAGGTTCGGCAGGACATTGGGAAGGAAGATTGGCATTATGTTTACCGGCATTCGTCGCGTAGAGGGTCCTGAATCATTGATTTGAATGTCGATCTAGAATCTTCTTCCGCATAAGACATCCGAAAAGAAATTTCAGTTTCTCATACTTCATAAAAACAAGTCCTAGAAAGCGAGGCCTTAAAAGGTGTCAGGAAGGATTTGGAAGAGATCCCAGACAAAGTTTAAATGACGTCCGGAAAGACATGTAGATAATCCATTCAAAGAACAAACAGATGCGCGTCATGGGTACCTGTTCTAGTGATCTCTGTAATCTTTGGCTGATAAAATGTATCAGAGAAAGCACAAATTCTAGTTACATTACAACATTACAATATTGCACCATGTGACTCTATAAGTGGAGAGCCATTAGATAAAAACACACGGATTGTTTTCTCAGGACCTTTTTACTCATAATAACTTATGATGCTGTAAGCCCCGCCAACAAAGGATGTCTGTACTATATGGACATCACAACCATCCCTATCCTATGGAAGTTAAGAGAATGTATATTGTTGTTTTTTAAAGAAATTAGATTATTCTTCATATTTATGAGGGGATACACGAGGCTATATAAACACGGAGAAGACTAAATTGATTTACAATCAACTTGATTTATCATATAGGTAACCCAGAAATATTTCCATGGCGCCTACACCCAGCTTCGAAATACCGTATACAATACTATATCTATAGAAAATACCTTCCAAATCATAGTTATACTACCGTATCTCATCCAATTAGTTTTTCTTATACTAGTAGTATTGATCCATCATTATAGCAGACTTTTTGTATTTTACCTATCTTTTAGGGCTACTGCCTCGTGACATGTATCTTGTGTACCTTTGATCTACAAACATCCCTCTTCCTGTTCCCTAACTTCTCCTTCTCTACTACTAGTATTCTAATCTTCCAAGTAACACTTAGGCGTGTATTGCTTTGTTCTATAAATATAATGGTTACTAAGTTGTCAGGCGAGAGACCTGTGACTTGGCAAGGATATCGGATAGTAGAGATCAGATTGGACAGTTGATGCACAGACTGATTCTTGAAGAACAAGAATCATAGTTATCGTCGTGTGTTCTAATATTGCTAGGGTTAGGGCAAACCTGCATACACGAGCGACTCGCGGGGGATTCGGCCGTGGATCGGCTTTGAATAGGAGTCTGGGGTATACTTCGAATCCCGTGACAATTGACTCACTATTCTAGCTTAATTATTATTTTAAGTAGCCCTTGGTAATATATTGGAAATTAACAGCAAGCACAAACCAATAGTCTGAGCTTGTTAGCCTATAAAATAGATATCTTTGGGTTAGGGGGGTCCTTCATCTGTCCAAAGATCTATCTTGTTTATTGATTTAGCAAGAGTTCCAAAGACTGTTTTTATCCTCTGTTCTACCTCTTTAATTGTCAACGTCTGTTCTTTTACTTAAGAGCGTAAATTTTGCGCTTGTTGAAAAGCTTTGGTAAGCTTCTGGCGAGCTTGTATAGCGCTTTTGACTGATTTCTAGTCACTGGTCCTAAAGACCTCCCTGGAAAAACGCCAGTCCTCCTTCAACTTTCTTAGAAGGAACCAGGATCTAAAGTTCGACCCAAATACAAGTGCAGCTACCCAATCTGTGGCTGATTAGATGCGGACAAAACTGGATGGATCAATATCGACGACGAACTGTGTCTGGTATAAAGCGGTGGGTCGATGGTAAACTCAGCAGTCTCAAACATTATGTAGCTCGGAATATCGACATTTACATGAGCGAGTGTCTTAAATCCTTCGCTGGGTATGTTCCGGTACTGTCCGTGGATACACTAGTTAGTTCCACTTCACAGTCCTGATTTGATACTGGATATATTATATACCGTTACTTGGAAAAATAGGTGACGTAGAGCTTTTACCGGTGCTATCTACTTGAGGAATGTCTCTTGGGGGAAATTTGTAGCTTTTCCCTATGTTCACGAATAATTAGTTTTAGTGCTTATCTCTGCCCCCTGACCATATGTGCTGGTTTATCTACCTAAGTGGTGGGTATTGTATGTGAAATGAGAAGCTGAATTTGGATTAGTATAGCTTCGCTCGCTAGGCTATCGTTGATATGATAGCCTCTTAATCAGTGGGTTATTACAGGGATTATAATACCTATATTGTAAAAGTAACATCACAACCAGACATTCTTATGTACTCTGTTTAGGACTTTTTGTCATCACGTGAGGGATTTATCTATCTTTTTTTCTTTTCTTTTCTTTTCTCCGAAATGGCCGATGCTTAACTCCTCGAGATCTAAATTCTTTAGTTTAGTCATTAAGCAGTGCCGAGGTTAAATTAACTGCACTAAACCACGAGACGGCTAGCGCGACGCAAGAACGGGCGTTCTTTCTACCGTCACTGACTTTACGGACGATTTAAGTCTGACGGCACGGCCATTACGGTAAAGTTAAACAGAACAGTCTCAGGGAGATCAGGGAAAGTCCTATGATCACACTAATATCAGTTGGGCGCACGTGGAGAAGCAGCTATGTAAATAGAGCAGTTTTCTTCGTATTAGCAGGACACTTACCATTGAGACTGCCTTCACAAGCAGGGAAGATGATGGCGGTGATTCCGTGCTTCCGCTAGGAAGAGTCGGATAGAGATGACTTGTGCCTGCTAAATATTACGAGCATCCAGTTAGAGTCGTGCATAGCTAATGCGGTATGGTATCTGATTATACTCAAATTTATGAGTCACTTCGTTGTATTAGCTTTCAAATTTCAACTACACCTTTCGGCTTCTAGCAGCATAATTAACCGTCTTTCCGCCCCCTCAATGATCCTCCGGACAACTCCATTCTGGAGTATGTCCTCTTCGTAGCTGACATTAATTACACACTGGCTATCTTTCACGCTCGCCATTGCAAAATACAACATAGGCCCAACCTGTGATTTTTGCGCTGACACAGAGAACTCAGCGCTTTCCAGTTGCCAAGGCCCAAACTATTCAAAGTTTGGTTCCACCAAACTTGACACACAAAAGGACTTCGTGACAGCAACATCTAGAACATGATATATCCCGGTCGTGATGGTCTCATCATCTTCCCCAATGGCTGTCAACCCTAAAGCGTTCGCAACTGGAAGTGGTGTGTGATGCGTGAGCATCGCAGAATCAAGGTCAGCCTTGGTTCTTTGGCTTAGCTGCCACATATGCGCAATTTGTGTATCGATAGCTGGGGACATGACACCAGCTTGGCGGTAAATATTTAGCCACTGATTAGACTGGTGACTTGATACATAATTTCCAATAATGCTAGAATACTCGGCCGGCAGGAAACGCCGTAGGTCAATTGCAAAGTATGACAGACCCAGTTTCGCTACTGGATAAACTTCACATGCAAGTGTCACATGAATCAGTGTTCCAATGAGAGCAGTGAATGAAGTCTTATGTTTCTTGCAGGCATTAAGAGATGCCTCGAGCTGTGATGGGCTGAGACAGATCCTTTTGAGCTTGGTAAGAGGCCGTTCTGGGAGAGGCACTGGGTTGTCTTTGGAGGGAAAATTGTCTTTGAAGATGACGTCGGTGAAAAAGGTATAATTCTTCCGTAAGAAGAACTTGACCAAGATAGAAAATAGATAGCTCAGTAGACCAATGTAAATGTTGAATCTCATGCCGAGGAGCCGAAAAAGAGCCATTGACTCGGGCATAAGCTCATAATTTGGCACATTGAAATCAGTCGGGAAGATATCTTCTTGGCCGCTCTCTTCTTGCTTCCTGGTGACTTTATTTAATGCAGCGAGCAGACTGCGGTGAAATATCATCCCCGACCGGCCATCACAGACTGAGTGGTGAAACACAAATAGTATTTGCGAACCATTGACCACTACTCTCCACAGTGGCTTCGTCTTATCGTCGGTATTAAACCAAGTGTTGTGCTCCACCTGCAGCAACTGAGTGAAATGCTCTTTCCCCGCCACATCATCAATGAATCTGACACAGTCTTTGAAACAAATCCTCTTCAAACGTGCTTGCCAGGTCCTTTTCCTGCCCATCTTCTTCATCGATGGCTAATCAACAAGAATTGTTGCCAAGGCTGGATGTTCGAGATCACTAAGGGAAGGGCTTTGTACACAATGGCTAGAGATAGGGGCACGTTATCTGGTCGCTTATATACCGCGCAAACGATGGTGTTTGATAAAACGCCTTGATCATGATGAATTTTGTATATGCTCTCGATCACGCCTTGTACACAGGTTAGTTTATGGTCGGGCCGAAGAAGAAGATGCGATGCTAACCTGCAGGACGGAGGAGCTCATAAACTTGAAGATCTTGACTGGATTCTAACACATTAAAATGGTCCATGATAATTAAAATCCCCGTGACGCCTTCAACAAACCCAAAGTAATTCGGAATAAGAGCAGCTGGTGAAAAGAAAGTCGCACTTTTTCCAGTTGGACGGAACAATGGGGCGGGTTGGGTTCTAGCTGGGGGGGGGGGAAATATTTTAACCCCCCAGTAGTTCAATTGGATGGATGGATGGATGATTTCATTTACCCCGACCCCTCGCGAACGATATGCAGGATTCAACAACTATATACATGTGTCTCTTCGTAATTGCCGTGTCTAATTTCCTAAGCGACCTTAATGCCTCGCCGAAGCCTTTCGTGGCTCCCTAGCCCTTCGTTCTCATGTTGTCTTCATGGTGCTCGGCTTTGAAACCGTTGTGATGCTTCAGCGAAGTCCAAGACGGCTTCCACCGTCTTCGCCTTCGAAGCATGGCTAACCTTACCTCTCTCCTCTCCTCCAGACCCTCCTAGTAGGGTTGAAATGCTGTTGAACGCCTCGCCGACCTTTTCTCGGAGCTCTCGCCGAAGTGCTCTCAGCTCTGGACAGTCTAGCAGAACATGGCTTACACTCTCGCGTTCGCCACAGACACATAGGTCATTGTCGCGGAAGCGAAACGTCTTTGCATATGTTGATAGCCAGCAGTGGCCAGTTCGCAATTGGGTGAGTAGATAAGCCCGGTTCCTCGGGAGGGAACCGTAGAGGCCACGTGTGTACTTGGCTGGCAAGGTGTTGTCAATCCGGCGCAGGTGGCTGCCAGTCTTCGACCCTTTCCATTCCTCTGCCCATTGGTCCTGAATAACTTGCCTGATATGTGCTCTCTCGCGTGATATCAAGGGACTGAACGGGTGTGTCTTGCCCGGGATGGCGGCCCAAAAGACATTAAGTAGCTTTGACAGGCCTACTTGCATAGACCACTACCCCAGTTTTTCACCCGATAATTGAGGTTTCTGGACTCTTGAGGTTCACCAGGCCTCTCACCCTGGGTGTCTCTTAGTTTGCTCCTTAAGCATACATCATGGGCAGGCCAACTAGGACGACACCGCTTCAACCGACCTAGGTCAGTCTCAGGCCCCCAGTGCGAGTGAGGTAGTTGACTCCCGTCTCTTTGTACACCGACACGCGCATCCGTCCTCTCGGGCTATACAAACAGTCTCTTGGCAGGACCCAGCCCTGCCACAGTGGCTGCCATTGTACACCACGCCCCGCGAGAGCTGTTGCTCTCGTTTCGCGTTACCTAGGGAGGTCTCCCTCCACTAGGCCGACCGTGTCTTGCAGAGAGCCCTCGTATACGCTCCAGCCGGCAGTGTATGTCGGTTGCTCTCTACTAACCAAGCTTGGTCCCCAGTGACTGGACAGGGCCGATGATTTACCCATGGCACAGCCTTAACGAGCTTCATCAGTTGCCATCAGTCAACCACCAATATCTTCCAGATTGCCCGTGTGTCTCCAAGAGGGTTGCCCGTGTCTCGGCGGTGCCCGTGTCTCGAAGGACAGCCGCACCAGAGCTTGCCCGTGGCTTCGCCTTAACGAGGTCTCCAGTAATCGACGTCTCCGAGCCTTAACGAGTTCGAGTCTTAACGAGGCCTCTGGGCCTTGAACGAGGTCTGTCCGATGTTAGCTTGACTGCCTGCGTCGCTGGTTCACTACCGCCTCGCCGCATCTCGCACGATGCGATCCCAGACCGTATGCAAGCTCAGGGGTGTCCTGTCTTCTTCCTAGGGCGACACCACTTCAACTGGTAATGCAAGACCAGCGTCTGGGCCCGAGTGCGAGTCGGGTACGAAGAAGTCGGATGGTTTTCATATGCCGTTTTCCCCTGATTTTTGGTGTGGTTGTGCGGTCGTGCCCCGCGCCCACCGCGCCGGGCCGGACCGCACAACCACGTCGGATTCACTTTGGTCTCCCCAACGGGGATTAACACCGGACACCACGAGAAGGTATGAATCCATTGTCCCAACAGCCTGGCGAGGACTGTCGCCCAGTGCGAGCTCACTGGGGGCGCGAACGGATACACACACACACACACAATTCATTAACGCCCGGCGGCGGAGCCGAGAGAGCAACTATCACTGATCTACCAATACATGCATGTTTGGGTATACGCCGTGTCTCCTTGGAGCCCATACAGTATTTCCTTCCGTATTTGCCATTTCAGCTTTCAATCTCATGGTTGGTCCCTGTGGTTAGTATTGGTTAGTAGACTGGCTTGAAGGCGCTTCTTCAAGTGTTCAACATCCTATCTTCGGTAGTTGAAGCGCGTCTACCGTCGATCACAAGGTGTCGGGGTTAGTAAGGTGAGTTTTTCTATCAGCTCGTCGGCAGGTCTAGGTGGCCTCAAGTCGGCCCGTGGCGATGGCGAATCGTATTGACGCTCGCACTGCTTCCACGTTCGGCTTCCACTTTTGATCATCGGAGGGTGACTTCCCTCCCAGGAAGAAGGACAAGTTCCCTCGGTGTGTATCGGTACATTGTAACATAATCGTCCGGTGTGTGGTCCACTTCCGACATCGAAAGAGAAAGTGGTCCACCGTTTCTCTTGCTTGTCCGCATGCACATTGATCTGTCTCGGCGGCATTGATTCGAAAGAGATATCCATTGAGTCTCGCCATGCCGGTGCGGAGCTGAGCCAGCACGCTCGCCTCTTTCCACGATAATCGGTCATACAGCTGTCGCGTGTGTTTTCCTGGGAGTGCGGTATCCACTCGACGGGAGTGTCTCCCTACGTTTTCGGGCAGCTTGCGGCTGGGGATTGCTTGGGTGCTCGCAATCTTGAGAGTCGTTGATTTCATTTTGGGAACCTGTACTTGCGGGATGGCATCTTCTTGTGTCGCGGCTCTCGCCTGCTCTTTCGCCAGACTAAGTAGTTTGTTGTCTTCGCTAGTGGGGATCCACTGGACGTTGATGTGGTTTCCATGTTTCTGCAGTCTTCTCATCAACTTGTAGATTTGACAGACAAATCCCTGGCCCGACTGTTGTCGCGGGTTCGTTAACGTCAGAGCCGCCGCTTTGTTGCTCGTGATCAGTGTAATCCGAAAGTCTTTCAATGATGCCGCAAGTGTCTTCAGTGTATGCACTATGGCGGCCAGCTCCGCGGAAAACGGATTGTGATCTGTCTTCGCACTCAACGTGACAGACAAGGTCTTCAGTCTCACTTTCCGCTGGCGTGGTGGTTGCTTTTCGATCGCCACTCCAAACCCGACCAGTTCATTCCGCGCCGAGCTGCTGAACGCGATCTGCATTGATCCTCTGGGTACAGTTGACCCCTCTGAGATAGGCTCATCATCTATTTGCACGCGTGCGTCCCATGGTGCCAGTGTAAACGGGTTGATGGTTTCCAGTGACTCCATGTCGATATTTTTCAGCGCGTCCGCTACTTGATATAGTGGCGAGCGGTGGTATCTCCTGAATTTCCTGATCCGATCTGTGCTCCTGCGGAGAGGATTGGTTTCTGGTAGTGTGTGGAGGTCTGTCCACATCTTCACGGCTCGTCTCCAGAATCGGTGTCGTGCCGTGGCGATATGGGCCTCCGCCTCCGCTACGCTGGTCGCAACGGTGAGGAATGTGCCCACAATTGCTTGCGCTCCTAGCCTTTGTACCCTGTTGATCGGTCCCATGTTTTGATTCTTGAAGGCGTGCATCCAGACGTTCGAGGCATAGTCCACCGCTGGGGCTACTGTCGATGAGAACAGCTGCCGCGCTGTCGCTGGCGAGAGACCTCGAAGTCGTCGAAGCTCTATCGCTGCCTCTAGGCCTTTGGACGCTGCCCTGGCAATATGTTCCTTGTACTTCAATCGCGTGTCTATCAGGACCCCGAGGATCTTAACCTTGTTCTTAGGCACGACCGTCTGTCCCTTGATAGTGAATGGCTCTCGATCTACTTTGCGAGCCTTGGGTGCGAAATGTATAATTACCGTTTTGTCCGCTTCAAAAGTTGCCCCGCTCCTCTTCTCCCAGTCGAGCGCTTCATTGACGATGGCCGTGATGCCGTCCCGATTACTCTGCACAGTTGGTCCTGTCACCTACGCGGTAAAGTCATCCACGAACGCGATTGCTCCTCCTTGGCTGTCGATCTGTCTCTGTACGAGGTCGGCATTGAAGAAAAGAAAAAGGATTGGAGACAGGGGCGAACCCTGAGGCAGTCCAGCCTGTGGCAGGTGCTGGACCTCAGAGATTTGCCCATTAACTTGAATGGACGCTGTCCGTTGGGAGCAGAACGCCTCAACCTAACCAAGAAGGTCTTCTGGTATTCCTCGCGCCTTCATTCTCTGGAGCAGTCGTTCTTTGCAGACCCCATTATAGGCTCCTTTGACATCGAAGCTGATCAAACTCAGCACCCGTCGGCCGCGCCATGCTGTGTAAATCTGCTCCTGCAAAAGCAGGAGTGCCTGTTCCGCGGACCGCTGCTTTTGAGCCCCGAAGTGGCTGGTCGGGAGCAGGCCGTGGGTCTCTACTGCGTGCGAGATCCTTTCTGCCACCACTGACTCCAGGATCTTGCCTAGCGTTGCGAGGAGTGAGATCGGTCTCTACGCCTTAGCAATAGTGTAGTCTTCCTTGCTCGGTTTCTTCAGTGGGATGATCTTTACGTGTCTCCATTGTTTCGGCAGTGTGCCTTCTTCCAGTGACGCCCGGAAGAGATCGAGGACCCGGTGTTTGACCGTCGGCCAGGTCATCTTCTACACGATGGCCGGCAGACCATCCTCACCTGGCGCCTTCTAAGACTTCGTTGCGAGCAACTGCCTCTCTACCTCTTCCATAGTGATGACCGGCATCTCGACCGGCGCTCTTTGTAGTCTTGTTCCTTCGTCTTTAATGTTCTCCGGCAAGGGCGGGAAGAATTTGGTCAGAAGTTCTTCGGCTTGTTCCTTATGGTCAGTGGTAACCGTTCCGTCTGCTCGTAGAAGCTGCGGAACTTTCCCGAAGGCTGTATCTTCTCCTGACTTTAGGTATTGAGCAGCTTTCCAAATGTTGTCGTTGTCGGCCAGAAAGTCATTCCAGTGCTTCTTCTTTTGTTTCCGAATTGCGTCATGGTATTGCTTCGCGGTGCTTGCGGCCATGTCCTCCAGCTGCGGCACCTTTCGTCCTGCTCGTCGCTCCGAGCGGGCGTGGTTTCTCTAATATGTGTATATCTGACGGAGTTGCGTCAGGTCCGCCGTCCACCATCGCTTTGCGTATGGTGACGGTTTGGCTCTCGGCGTCAACGCGCGAACTGCTTCCGACACCGCGGACATGAGCCGGTCGGTTTTTTGCTGCACTGAGCCTCCCCCCGGGGTGGCAGCTAGCGTTCCTGCAATTCTAGCATTGATCTCCTTCTACGGTGCGTTCTTCAGAAGTAGCCGCTCCGTCTGCTTCGGAGCTGTCCAAGGAGCATCGAAGACCGTCTCAATGGTCCGGTGGTCTGAGCCGTGCTCTATTCCATGTACCGCACATTTGATCATCGAGTCCGTCAAGTTTTCCGAGGCGAGAACGAGGTCGATCGTCGACTCGCAGTCCCCGGAATATCCTCCACCGTGCTATGTCTTGGTGCCTCGTTTGAGCAGGCTGCTGAGTCTAAATTCATTCATAAGGTCGATGATCGGATCCGCTTCGCCTTGCCTGACTGAGGACACCTCGTCTCCTCCCCACAGTTGATCATGGCGGTTAAAGTCCCCTATGATCATGATCTCCACCACCGTTCCCGAGTCTTGTCGTACTTTAGTGATTGCTTTTCTGAGATGATTGCATGCATCGTTCAACGCAGCGGCATCGCCTCCTTCTACATAAACCGATGCTATCAAAATCCGTTGCTCAGGAAGCCGAATCACAGCCGCTGTTAGGTCCGGCGACTCGATCTGTACTTGCTCCGTTTCCACATCCTTATTTACCCACAGTATGCTTCGAATCGCCCATCTCCCTTCTCTCCACGTGGAGGGGACCATCTTAGTCCATTGATGATGTTCCATCGGGGTGGTCAAGAGCCGGCCTTGAATCCTCCTCGCCTGGGGCTCCTGGATCGCTAGTGCCACTGCGTTTGCGGTATCTTGGTCGTTCATAAGGCTTTTATGCACCTCACCCTGTTTCCTCACATTCAGTTGCATCACTCGGAGCGTTTTATTCATTGCGTGGCGGATAGAGCTTCCGACAGTTTCTGCTGAACGATTCATGAGGGCCTCCGCATGGAACGCACCTTGGAACTGTCTGGTCGCAGTTACTGTGGCGATGGCCTTCTACGGCGCACTTTGCGCATCTCTGGGCATTCTTGCACTGAAAAGCCTTGTGCCCAATCTCCTGGCACTTATAGCATTGCATCGGTCGTGGTCGATGCTCGAAGGTGCTGGTCACGCCGGATTCTCCCCCAGCATGGAAGTATCCGTCGGCTAGCAGTCTCCGTGCGTCACTACCTTTAGTGAGGTAGACGACCATTGACCCATATGCTTTTGCGCTCTCCCTCTTGCTAAGCCATGCGATTTTTGCAACGGTGGCTTCGTTCTCCTCGCTGAAGGCGGCTGCGGCTCCGGCACGGATCTCATCTTTTTCATCCAGAACTGCGGCTTTATTTACGCTGTCAACTTTGATAGGGTAAAGCTCATCCCGGAGCACCTGTGCCCCTGCGCCGATCTTGGCTTCCGCTACTTTCTTAACCAGCTGATGCTCGGCCTCGTCGCGGCACGCTATTCTGATCCGGTTCGTGTTCTTTGGGTCCACAGTGACAGCGCGACAACGCCAATGCGTGTGGTCTGCCGTCGCTCGGATCTCTGTCTCGACTGCCGCCCGGATAGAGCCTGCAGACATCCTCTCGTTTTCGTTCTCTGCCATCCTGGAGGTGTCGATTGTGCAATAGAGTGTGTCGGTGAGCGTGGTTGGTGTTGTGTTCGATGTCGAGAGGCTCCGTATATTACTCGGGTGGCTGAGCGGGGGAGTGCGGGCGACATCGGCATAGGACGGGGATCCTGTGAAGGCGGGAGCGCTGATTTCTTCACGTAGGGATTGGATTTCTCGGAGGATTTCATCGTGACCAGTCTGGGCGTACGCTTCGGAGTTGCACTGCGATGTCGGGGTCCTGTCTGTCAGGTTCTGTAGCTCGTCCCGGACCCCAGCGAGGGCAGCACCGAACTCTGCTTTGGCTTTTTGTAGTTCTTCCTTGTGCAACTCGTCTCGTAGCCTGATTTCTGTCCTGAGTTTGGCGATCTCTTTTACCAAATCGTTCACATCGAGGTTGTCGCTCTCAGTCGCGGAGTCATCCGAAGCTGCCTTATCAGGCTGAGATTCGGGTCCAGTCCTCTTCTTTTGCTGAGGTCGCGTCTGCCTCTGTTCATTGTCGGTTTCTTGTTCTTGAGCATAGATTCGGGGTGGTCTGGTGATGCGTTTCGGTCTTGCCAGTCGCGGTGGCGAAGCTTCGCGTTCGTCGCGGTCGGGCGGCTCAGGGGTTCGCATCGCGGCCCGTCCCGCCATCACTCTCAATCAGTACAGGAAATCGGTATTGTCGCCACGTGTGTTCTTTCCTGGATACAGGGCTCCCGAGAGGTCATACAGTACGTCGCGAAACTGTCGCCACTCTCTAAGCAGCCAGCTGATGATCGCGAACGGATACAGTCGGATGGATGGATGGATGATTTCATTTACCCGAACCCCTCGCGAACGATATGCAGGATTCAACAACTATATACATGTGTCTCTTCGTAATTGCCGTGTCTAATTTCCTAAGCGACCTTAATGCCTCGCCGAAGCCTTTCGTGGCTCCCTAGCCCTTCGTTCTCATGTTGTCTTCATGGTGCTCGGCTTTGAAACCGTTGTGATGCTTCAGCGAAGTCCAAGACGGCTTCCACCGTCTTCGCCTTCGAAGCATGGCTAACCTTACCTCTCTCCTCTCCTCCAGACCCTCCTAGTAGGGTTGAAATGCTGTTGAACGCCTCGCCGACCTTTTCTCGGAGCTCTCGCCGAAGTGCTCTCAGCTCTGGACAGTCTAGCAGAACATGGCTTACACTCTCGCGTTCGCCACAGACACATAGGTCATTGTCGCGGAAGCGAAACGTCTTTGCATATGTTGATAGCCAGCAGTGGCCAGTTCGCAATTGGGTGAGTAGATAAGCCCGGTTCCTCGGGAGGGAACCGTAGAGGCCACGTGTGTACTTGGCTGGCAAGGTGTTGTCAATCCGGCGCAGGTGGCTGCCAGTCTTCGACCCTTTCCATTCCTCTGCCCATTGGTCCTGAATAACTTGCCTGATATGTGCTCTCTCGCGTGATATCAAGGGACTGAACGGGTGTGTCTTGCCCAAAAGACATTAAGTAGCTTCGACAGGCCTACTTGCATAGACCACTACCCCAGTTTTTCACCCGATAATGAGGCTTCTGGACTCTCGAGGTTCACCAGGCCTCTCACCCTGGGTGTCTCTTAGTTTGCTCCTTAAGCATACATCACGGGCAGGCCAACTAGGACGACACCGCTTCAACCGACCGAGGTCAGTGTCAGGCCCCCCAGTGCGAGTGAGGTAGTTGACTCCCGTCTCTTTGTACACCGACACGCGCATCCGTCCTCTCAGGCTATACAGACAGTCTCTTGACAGGGCCCACCCCTGCCACAGTGGCTGCCATTGTACACCACGCCCCGCGAAAGCTTGCGCTCTCGTTTCGCGTTACCTAGGGAGGTCTCCCTCCACTAGGCCGACCGTGTCTTGCAGAGAGCCCTCGTATACACTCCAGCCGGCAGTGTATGTCGGTTGCTCCCTACTAACCAAGCTTGGTCCCCAGCGACTGAACAGGGCCGATGATTTACCCGTGGCACAGCCTTAACGAGCTTCATCAGTTGCCATCAGCCAACCACCAATATCTTCCAGATTGCCCGTGTGTCTCCCAAGAGGGTTGCCCGTGTCTCGGCGGTGCCCGTGTCTCGCAGAACAGCCGTGCTAGAGCTTACCCGTAGCTTCGCCTTAACGAGGTCTCCAGCGAACGACGTCTCCGAGCCTTAACGAGTTCGAGTCTTAACGAGGCCTCTGGGCCTTGAACGAGGTCTGTCCGATGTTAGCTTGACTGCCTGCGTCGCTGGTCCAAAAGACATTAAGTAGCTTCGACAGGCCTACTTGCATAGACCACTACCCCAGTTTTTCACCCGATAATGAGGCTTCTGGACTCTCGAGGTTCACCAGGCCTCTCACCCTGGGTGTCTCTTAGTTTGCTCCTTAAGCATACATCACGGGCAGGCCAACTAGGACGACACCGCTTCAACCGACCGAGGTCAGTGTCAGGCCCCCAGTGCGAGTGAGGTAGTTGACTCCCGTCTCTTTGTACACCGACACGCGCATCCGTCCTCTCAGGCTATACAGACAGTCTCTTGACAGGGCCCACCCCTGCCACAGTGGCTGCCATTGTACACCACGCCCCGCGAAAGCTTGCGCTCTCGTTTCGCGTTACCTAGGGAGGTCTCCCTCCACTAGGCCGACCGTGTCTTGCAGAGAGCCCTCGTATACACTCCAGCCGGCAGTGTATGTCGGTTGCTCCCTACTAACCAAGCTTGGTCCCCAGCGACTGAACAGGGCCGATGATTTACCCGTGGCACAGCCTTAACGAGCTTCATCAGTTGCCATCAGCCAACCACCAATATCTTCCAGATTGCCCGTGTGTCTTCCAAGAGGGTTGCCCGTGTCTCGGCGGTGCCCGTGTCTCGCAGAACAGCCGTGCTAGAGCTTACCCGTAGCTTCGCCTTAACGAGGTCTCCAGCGAACGACGTCTCCGAGCCTTAACGAGTTCGAGTCTTAACGAGGCCTCTGGGCCTTGAACGAGGTCTGTCCGATGTTAGCTTGACTGCCTGCGTCGCTGGTTCACTACCGCCTCGCCGCATCTCGCACGATGCGATCCCAGACCGTATACAAGCTCAGGGGTGTCCTGTCTTCTTCCTAGGGCGACACCACTTCGACTGGTAATGCAAGACCAGCGTCTGGGCCCGAGTGCGAGTCGGGTAAGAAGAAGTCGGATGGTTTTCATATGCCGTTTTCCCCTGATTTTTGGTGTGGTTGTGCGGTCGTGCCCCGCGCCCACCGCGCCGGGCCGGACCGCACAACCACGGCGGATTCACTTTGGTCTCCCCAACGGGGATTAACACCGGACACCACGAGAAGGTATGAATCCATTGTCCCAACAGCCTGGCGAGGACTGTCGCCCAGTGCGAGCTCACTGGGGGCAACGGATACAGTCGATAGCGAAAACGGCTTCTACCCTCCTGATCGCTTTTCTCTTCTCGGGCCCCACTGCCAAGGCCTTAGCGTGGATCCTTTATTGATTGATTGATTTTTACTTTTTGCTCATCTCAAATGAGAATGGTGAAACTACTTTTGTGGAGTCGATTGGACATGTGGGCCAAAGTCAGCAACCGGCGGTATTGAAATTGATGGTCATCGCGGACCTGCCGCATGCTACGGAGGGCACAAGGTGCACTGACGCGTCGCAGCGCGTCGCGTAGAACACATGTGCCACGCCCATACTGAGAGTAACATCAGCGGCTACGTTTGAAGTCAACAGGCACGTCTTCTCCACCATGTATCACAAACCTCGACCTGGCATCTTTCGAATCACAATTGGGCCATTGCGACCGTCGCGGCAATCGACTGGCCGTACTTGCGAGGCTGCTTCTGCCGGCGAGTCCGTGCCACTCGGTGGTGAAATCGAGGAGGCATTTGGTCGGATTGCGGCTGCCTTGAGCATAGCATCGGGGGAAATAGCCAACTTCATCATAGCGACCTGACAGCATGGTTATTTGGTTTCCAAAATCTCTTAGTGGTGAAAATGTATTTTCCGGCTCAGGTCATGGTGGCAGCTTTGCATCACCGTCTGCATTGGGACACGGCCAAAGAAATTTGCCGTTGGATACACTCGATCTAGCACCAATTATTACCCGCTGGCGCAAGATGGGTGTTCGCAACTTACCTTGCTCGCGGCCTAGATGAGATTCCCAATAACAGTTACAATACGCTACCCCGATCGGACTCCTAGGAACGGCCGAACCAGGGCTGTGTTTCACTGCCTATGTCAGCATGATTTCCAGTGAATGAGGGTGGTACAGACTTGCCGTCAATATAGTCTGGCATCAGCATAGGAAAACCAGAGACGAGGTAGCAGGCGTTGGCTCGATCACACGTATACGAGGGCCCGGGATCACCCCGTACCGCGGGAATGGATGTGGGCAATATCTGTCAATGCATAGCTGTTTCGTCTTTGCTGTTCGTGCGCCAGGCAAATATTCAACTGTGTCAGGACAAAGTGCCATCTTGACAATCCATTCAAGAAGTTCTTGCAGCTCAAAGTTGCTAGCAGGGCCGGAGTCGAGTATATTGCTCCTTTGGTCGCAGCTTCATCTACACCAGGGAAGATATTGAAGTATTTACCTGAAAAAAAATCAGACATGGGGCAGTGGCTCTAGATGAGGACGTCAAAGTAAATGCTGAAGCTCGTTCAACTGTCATGACGGTGCTTTGGTCAAGTTATATGCTTCTTATTGCCTTACTGAATTGGTATTTGCGTCGACTTGATCTTGGCTTACTCACAAACCACAATGGGCATGGAGCTGGGCAGTTTTACATTTTCATGCTCACCATCGCCATCAATGGGATCTGGGTGGTCGAATCACACCGTTTCGGACTTTTTCTCAGCCCTCTATTCAGGTAAGCTCTACGAATTTGCTTAAATTTTCAGTGAGCCCCAACTAATAGCAATGGATATAGTTCGATCCCATTTGCTATGGCGTCCACTAGGTTTGGATGAGATAAGAACTAATTATGCCACTTTACTTTGATGTCTATATAATTGTGAGCAGAGAAAGGTCATTTTGCTATCCACTACCACGAGCACTAAACCCGTCTATTGCCAAGTCACTCCCAATAGGACTTCTTATCGCATACATGCCGGTCATGAGGAAATTCCTGCCATTCATTAACCAAAAATAAATCCAAAGCAGCCTTCACAATGACCGGGCAACTTCGATTTTTCAAATCGGAAGCCGCGTCTTCAAGAGTTCTTCAGCGGGACTTTTAGTTGGTCACATTCACTTCCAAAGTCGTGACCTGAAGTACCTCACTCGTTTCTATGGCTTCCTCGTTCTCTTGGCAGCTTTTTCTCATGCAATATTCATGAGTCAACTTTTCCCACGATCTATCGCTGTTATCTCTTTCTTCAAGCTCACTACCTCATGGGAGCTCGGTCAGCTTGGATGTTTAAGTTTGTTATCATGGGTTGGTGCCTGTTTACGGTTTGGGATATGCGCCGCGTATATTTAACCCGGCCTCCTTTGGTCGCTAGTTTCGTTGTTATCAATACAGTCGCTCTCCTTATGGATCCAGCTGCTCTACTCGCCGGATTTTTGGGGTGGCGCGAGTATGCTTTGGAGCGCGGTAGGCAGAAGCTATGAAAGCGTGTGGGGTCTTCGCCCATAAATTTTGATGGATGCTTTCCCAATCATATACAGAGCTATGATATACAGGATAAATCGTGGTTGGTCTTCATGAAAGGCTTTGTATTGATCCCCGGGCAACTAGATGCCAGCATCGTCAGGCATCACAGGATGAAAACGATTGAGATTATGAGTAAAGTTTAATATTCAAACAGAATCAACAATCTCTCTGTGTTGGTCTGCTGGCTTCAAGTCCTCTGCGTCATTGAGTTTAGTCCCACGCAAGTCGGCCTCGATATGCTTGATACGTTCCTTTTCTTCGTATGCTGAGGTATCTCCAAAAATGAGATCCATGTCTTCCAGGGTCTAAATTCAACAAAATCAGTATTATCCTCCAAATAGGTTAAAATGGTTCGTACCTTTCCACGTGTTTCGGGGATACAGAAGAATGTAAAGATAAGTGCAATCAGAGCGAAAGCCGCAAAGAAGATGTAAGTGCCCCAAGTGATGGTCTCGAGCATATCCGGAGTGACCAGGCCGATGATGCTGAGAATAATGTTAGCAGAAGAATGACACTTTTCTTGTGATTTCAACGTACAAATTACACATCCAGGTGGCTGAGGTAGTGATAGAAATGGCCTTGGATCGAATCGAAAGATTGAAGATTTCCGATGGGAGCACCCAACCAATAGGGCCTGTAGAAACTGTTAACTGCTGGTCTGGAAAAATTGACCAAAAGACTCACCAAATGAATAAGAGAAGTTTATATCGTAGATATAGATAAAGGCAATACCAGCCCATCCAGCCGATTTGTGGCTCATCAGATCAGCACCATAGGCCCCCCAGGATTCCACCCACAATCACTAGCGAGATACAAGTACCCGTGGCTCCAGCCATGAGAAGAGCGCGACGTCCAAATTTATCGATAAAGAATAGTGCCGGGAGAGTGGCCAGGCAATTGACGATGCCATACACTCCGGTAGCGAGAAGCGAAGTGGTGTTTCCATCCATGCCGAGCTGACCAAAAATTGTTGGTGCATAATAGATCATGGCATTGCAGCCGATGAATTGCTGGAAGAACATCACCGCACAGCCAATGAAAAGTCGCTTGAAGCGTGCCCATTTCGTAAACAAAGACACATACTATAAGAGACACGTAAGTCTAGAGCTGTGGAAAGATAACTGGGACACAAACCTGAGCGACATGCAGCTTCACACCTGAAAGGTTGGGGAAGTTCTCTCTGGCAAAAGAGTTCTCTAGCATGATAGATGCTCTAACCTCCAGGTATTCGTTTTGAAGAATAGGGCTATCGCGGGATTGCCTCCGTAATCTCGAGAGAGCGACAAGCGAGTCATCATCACGCTCTTTCATTAGCAGCCACCGAGGTGATTCTGGGAAGAATACCATTCCGATTCCCAGAATAACTGCTGGGACAATTTGAATCGCCAGTGGAAGACGCCAAGAGGCCTCTGATTGACCATTGCAGCCCGTTATTGGAATATCATTATAGGGGTCGAATGTAGGCTTTGCTGAGGTCCCACCAGTGTAGGGCATATCGGGGGCGCAGCGAGTGCCACCGATGTAGTTGGTGCCATAGTCGATCCAATAGCTGATGAGGATTCCAATGGTAACCGATACTAAGGGAATATTAGTATAAGCATAGTTTTCAGACCGGGATGAAGAAAAAGCAAACATTGTTGAGTGACGACCAGGCCTCCACGAATCTCAGGAATAGAAACCTGTATCATAATCAGCTCGCCGTTCAACCAAGACCTTGTTGAGAGCAGGAATCACCTCAGAGATGTACAACGGCACCACCATTGTCATCATTCCGACAGCTAAACCAACAATAGCTCGTCCTATAGGAGTTAGCTCCACTCCAGTAGCTTAGTACATGTTCGACTTACCGGCAAATAGCATTGGAATATTCACTGCTGCACACTGAATCGCAGATCCAATGACGAAGATCACTACTGCAACGTTGATAGAAAGCTTTCGCCCAATCCGATCCGCAATAGGTCCATTGATCAAAGATCCAAACCAGGCAGCTAGGTACTATTAAGATGCAGTCCAAAAGGCACCGGTCATATCTGTAGGACTTACCGAGTAGGAGCGTTGACACAAACCAGCCTTTGAATCCGCTATCACTGAAGACATGCGGGAATCGAGCCCCAAAGGACTCCATCGTGATCACACCACTGATGACACCTTGATCATATCCGAACAGCCTTCATTTTATATTCAATTAGCAAAGGGTGTAGCTTTCATGAACATGTATCAGGCGCGTACAGGCCACCGAGAGTTGAGAACTGGTATAGATGTCAGCATCATGATCATTCTGCTATACGAAATAAGCATTTACCGATGCCACACCACATAGATATGGATTCTGCAAGACAAGCTTGAAGCCGCCCTTTGGCGGAGTATCAACAACGGAACCCATTCTGATTGATAGTCACGATCTTCGCACACTCGATATCAAGAAAGACTTATACCGGCGAGGGACGAGCTCTATTTATGAGATTCGGCCTTGGAAATCACGCCCGGTGAAAAGCAACCTTTTTCTGAACACTCGCTATGCCGACAGGACTACAGTACTCCGGATCCCGAGTCCGAGCGAGGTGGTCATAGACGGCCGCAACGTCGTGAGCTCGGGGCGGAGGGCAGTGGTCCGGCCAATGACGGCACTAAAGGAGTGATGATCGGGACCCGGTTCCCTGGTGGATGGGCTAACTCGATTTAAGGTGGCGGACCCCAATGCGGGGAAACTTTGGACCATGGACGCCCTGAACTCAGGAAGGATAACGGCGAGGAACGGGTAAAGTCAAGGTCGTACGAAGATGCCGCGGCTGATCGATGGGATGTATCCCCATAGCTCTGGCAAGCTCACCTTTCTTATTGCTTCGGGTTTGAGGTATTCTGGAGCACGGGCCTGACCGATAATTAGAAAGGCTGCCGGGGATGTGGAGAAGGGAGAAACTTCGGGGTGGAGTTGGATGGGGTAGCCCTTGGGGACGGGGCACCAACCACCAACGAGTGCAACGCGGAGAAGTGCGCTCCGTCGGCCTTACTCCGATCTTCGCAGTTGGCTCTGAGGTGCATTTTTACGATAACGATCTATTAGGATTAAATCCAGTAAAGGCGAAGTCTAATAATCTCTATCTCGCTTCACGATAATGGCAGACAGCAAGGATGGCAATACAGTATGTATTATTACCAGTACAGTCAACTCTCACTTATTGCACACCCGCTCTTAGCACACTCCCGCTTATAGCACACAATTCGCTTGGATGGGCCCACTTTTTCTTGATTTTACATACAAAACTCCCACTTTTAGCACACTCACCCTTTGCACACAATTTTCATCCCATATTTGCTGAGTCATGCGCTTAGTCAGTCATGTCGACCAATCAGAATGCCTGAAATCTCCGATCTTCCACCTCTTCCAACTGTCAGACCAGCTACACAAGCTGCTCTACCACCAGCAAAGCGTGCTCGATTAGGCATATCAGATGCCCAAAAGCAGGCATTACGTGCCTTCTGGTCTAATTCGAGCCCTAGACCAACCCAATCCGCGTGTGTAGATTGGTTTTTGTCCCAATTTAAACATAAGATTAATCGTACAACGGTCTCAAGAATTCTATCATCTCAATATGATTATCTTGATATAGGGCTTACTAAGGCAAATTCACGATTTTCTTCATCTTTCTGGCCTATTCTAGACCAGAAGCTTTCGAATTGGGTGAATAAGCATATTGAATCAGGGTTTCCCATCACTGGTCCTTTGATCCAGATCAAAGCAAACGAGCTTTGGTCTCAGATCCCTGAATATCGAGATCAACAAAAACCTGCTTTCTCAGAGGGTTGGCTTACGCGCTTCAAAAACCGGCATAATCTTCGATATCATACTTTCCATGGAGAAGCTGCTTCAGTCCCATCTTCTGTACACAATCATATGGAAGAAATTCGTACGATATGCGATCAATATGAACCATCTGAGATATATAATATGGATGAAACTGGCCTATTCTGGAGGCAGATGCCAAATGGGGGTCTTTCCCATGGAAAAATTGCTGGAAAGAAGAAAGATAAGACTAGAATATCTCTTGTCGTTACAACAAGAGGAAGATATTATATATGAAGATGAGACTGATGGGCAAGATATATATATTGATATAGAGAGCTCGGAAGCACAAGATATTGAAGAAAATGGGCCTCCACCAGAGATTCTGTCTAATTCTGATATAATGGGTCATCTACAGGATATATTACTATGGGTTGGAAGCAAGGAAAAGAGCACATCAGACCATATACGTCAGGTGACCCTAGAGGATATGGGATGGAAGCCTAAATAGGCAATGGGGCTAAGGGCTAGCTAATTTATTGATTATGTCATCCTCTCACTTATTGCACCTCCCGCTTATTGCACATGATTTTCCTTGGATAGGAGGGTGTGCAATAAGTGAGAGTTGACTGTACCGTGCTAACAGATACAGCATATTACCAAAGAGTATGCGACAAAGCTCGAGTCACATAATAGAGCGACTGGAACGGAAATAAGGATACACTCTACCATCGATAATGTACCTTTAACGTAGTTTTGAATTGGCAACCTACGTTGATTGCGTCACTCAACTCCTAGCTCATAGTCGAGTTTTATCAGAAAAGACTACATGTACAGTCTCTTGAATACACTTCAGTTTGGTGTACTACCAGATCGAAGCTGATATGTAGAAATCATCATTTCGCACTGTTGATCAACTTTTGAATTCGTGAAGGAACGAAGACTCCCACTACGATGGCGATGGGTGGTTAAATACCGTTGTTGACAGCCACATCACCGCTCGGCAGTTACGCCGCATTGTACATCAACAGAACCCACTGGGCCGACCCCGTTATCCCGTTATCCCGTTATCACCAACTCTCACCCTCAAGCCTCACTCACCTCTAGCCCTCACCACCAACACACCATCCATCACCGTCAATCACCATAGAACCTCACCTTCAACTTTCACCCTTACCCTCATCCTCATCCTCAACTGTTACCCTCAACACGCGCCATCCTCGATGTCCACAATAGTCGCCTCTCCGGACAAATTCTACCGCCACTCCTAGGCAAGAGACAAGCATTCACACCAATGGAGACTACTTTGGATTGAAGCCGTCGCCCAGATTGGCTACTTCGCTGTCATGCACCAGGATAGCAACAGCCCCCATGACTCGATGCTCTACTGTACACCACATGGAAGACAATGTCCATTCTCGAAGCCTAGGGCGTGATTGAAGGCTACAAAGTACATACAGCGAACCAGGACAATGAAAGTGGCATCTACTCACAATTTTGAAGTGCACATACACGAAGTCTCCTTGGAGGATTCTTGATTTCTATCGATTTTGGAGCAGGTCTTGGCTTCTTCGAGTCACTCCCTCGAATACTAGTCTCTAACACCACGAAGAGGTGCCTGCATGTCGCCAGAGGATCAGGACGAGGACCGCGGCGCCACAGGTCGCCTAAACGAGCACAAATTTGATAACGCAGGGCTCAAGGCTGCATGGAAGCTCAAGATTATACAATCACAGGGCTCAAGGCTGTGAGGGAGAACTTGGTGTCGCAGGGGTCTCCTGCGGAGCGCATTCTTACAACGCAGGGCTCATCGTCTTTGAGGGAGCACACTCTTACAATCTCAGGGCTCATTATTGCGAGGGAGAACTTGTTAACGCAGCACTCTCCTGCGGGTAATTTTCTATCACAGATCCCAACTGCGGAATTCACTTACACTCAATCCACCCTCCTATACACACACACAATTCATTAACGCCCGGCGGCTGAGCCGAAAGGGCACTATCACTAATCTACCAGTACATGCATGTTTGGGTATACGCCGTGTCTCCTTGAAGCCCATACAGTATTTCCTTCCGTATTTGGCATTTCCGCTTCCAATCTCAGAGCTGGTCCCTGTGGGTTAGTATTGGTTAGTAGACTTGCTTGAAGGCGCTTCTTCAAGTGTTCAACATCCTATCCTCGGCAGTTGAAGCGCGTCTACCGTCGATCACAAGGTGTAGGGGTTAGTAAGGTGAGGTATTCTATCAGTTTGTCGGCACGCCTAGGTGGCCTCAAGTCGGCCCGTAGCGATCGCGAACCGTATTGAGGCTCGCACTGCTTCCAAATTCGGCTTCCAGTTTTGATCGTCAGAGGGTGACTTCCCTCCCAAGAAGAAGGACATATTACTTCGGTGAGTGTGGGTACATTGCAGCATTTCCGTCCGGTGCGCTGTCCACTTCCGACATCGAAAGAGGAAGTGGTCCACAGTTTCTCTTGCTTGTCCACATGCGCATTGATCTGTCTCGGCGGCATTGATCCGGAAGAGATATCCATTGAGTCTTGCCATGCCCGTGCGGAGCTGGGCTAGCACGCTCGCCTCTTTCCACGATAATCGGTCATACAGCTGTCGCGTGTGTTTTCCTGGGAGTGCTGTGTCCACTCGTCGGGAGTGTCTCCCTATATTCTCGGGCAACTCGCTATTGGGGACTGCTTGGGCACGCGCAATCTTTAGAGTGGTCGATTTCATTTTGGGGACCTGTAATTGCGGGATAGCATTTTCTTGCGTCGCGGCTCTTGCCTGCTCTTTCGCCAACCCTAGTAGTTTGTTGTCTTCGCTAGTGGGGACCCACCGGGCGCTGATCTGATTTCCATGCCTCTGCAATCTGCTTATCAGCTTGTAGCTTTGGCAGACAAATTCCTGACCCGACTGTTGTTGCGGGTTCTTCAACGTAAGAGCCGCCGCTTTGTTGCTCGTGATCAGTGTGATCCTAAAGTCTTTCAATCCCACGAGTGTCTTCAGTGTATGCGCCATTGCCGCCAGCTCCGCGGAAAATGGATTTTGCTCTGTTCTCGCGCTCAACGTGACGGACAAGGTCTTCAGTCTCACTTTCCGATAGCGCGGTGGCTGTTTCTCGATCGCCACACCAAACCCAACCAGTTCATTCCGCGCCGAGCTGCTGATCGCAATCTGCATTGACCCGCCTGGTACAGTTGACCCCTCTGAGATGGGCTCATCAGTCTGCACGCGTGCTTCCCATGGTGCCAGTGTAAACGGGTTGATGGTTTCCAGTGATTCTATGTCGATGTTTTTCAGCGTCCCCGCCACTTGATACAGTGGTGAGCGGTGGTACCTCCTGAACTTCCTGATCCGATCTGTGTTTCTGCGAAGAGGATTGGTCCCTGGCAGTGTGTGGATGTCTGCCCACATCTTCGCGGCTCGTCTCCAGAATCGGTGTTGTGCTGTGGCAATGTGGGCCTCGGCCTCCGCTACGCTGGTCGCAACGGTGAGGAATGTGCCCACAATTGCTTGCGCTCCTACCCTTTGCACCCGGTTGATCGGTCCCATGTTTTGATTCTTGAAGGCGTGCATCCAGACATTCGAGGCATAATCCACCACTGGA